GACGTGCGGGACCCGTGCTGCCCGGGGAGGAGGGGCCGGAGCAGAGGGCCCAGCAGAGGACAAGAGGCGCAGCTCCGGTCAGCGGCTCCTGGGCACCTGCCTTCTCTTTCCTTTCCTCCGGGGACACCTCTCCACGATTCTTAGAGCGAGGAGCGGGGAGAGGCAGAGGGGGACGCCGACGAGAGAGACACATCGACTGGCTGCCTCCTGCACGGGATCCAGCCTGCAACCAAGGTACCTGCCCTCGACCGGAATCGAACTGGGACCCTGCAGTCCCAGGGCCGACACTCTATCCACTGAGCCACACCGGCCAGGGCCGTGCCTGTCCTTCCAGGAAACGCCACGGTGCAGGGACCGCGTCCACCACGGTGCACAGCTCCCGCGTCCAGCATCCGCCCCCCAGGGGTTTCAGGAAGGACACGGGGGCGCGGGAGGCTGTCCACGTCTCCTGGGAGGCGGCAGGCTGGACACGTCGCTTTGCAACAGCTTCTGACAGTGCACGTGTCCGAAAGGCGTCGGGCGGCGTAGCGGCACCTGGCCGGCTGCTCACTGCTCCGCGGGAAGGAGGGGCCTCACTACACCCATCACGACGACAGCAGGACATGGCATTCCGTGTGAAGGGACTCACAAGCCAGACTTGTCTCGGCCGCGTGGCGCCACCTTGAGGCCAAGGAGGAGATGACATTTGCAAGAGAAGGTCTCCTAGGCAACCAGAGGGCCTGGTCCCTCACCACAGGAGGAAGCTGCCCAGAGCTTCCCGCAGCGCCTCCCCTGTCAGGTCAGAGTCTGCGTGGATGCGCCCCACACGCCGGTCCTGCCCCCCATTCCCCGCCCCCCCCCCTGCCTCGGTGACTCCACTGGAGCCTCAGCAGACGCTCCGCCATCAGCCCCCAGTCCCGGCACCCGCGGGACATTGAAGCTCAACGGGGCACATAAGGCAAGAAGGATGTTTAGTGAGAGGGGGAGGGGGCGGGGGGAGAGTCCGGCCTCCCGGAGGCAGGGGTCTCGCTCCTGGGTCGTGCCCTCCTCTAGGTGGGTAACGGGTCGTCGTCGCCTTTGCTGCACTTGCACTTGCAGCAAAGTACAAAGGGGGTGGCCAGGAGCAGGAAGGGCGAGGCCACCAAGAGCAGGAGCCCAAATCCAGCAAAAATGCCCACGACCTGCAAGAAGGAGACACAAGAGCAGAGGGCCAGGCGGGTGGTCTGTAGGTGCCACACTGAAGTATAGACACACAGCCACCCATCCGGCCACCACCCACACCTCCTCCCCATCCGTCTCTCCAGCCGTGCTTCCCTCCATCCACCCAGCACCCACCACCCACCACACCTCACCCCCATCCATCCATTATCCATGCAACGTCCATCCACCTGTCATCCATCCATATAGTCATCCATCCATTCTTCCACCCAACCACCCAGCCATCTACGCATCTATCCATCCTCATCCATCCATCCATCCTTCCACCCATTCATCTATCTATCCATCATCCATTTATCCACCTATCCATCATCCACCCATCCATTATCCATGCAACATCCACCCATTCACTCATTTTTATCTCCATCCACTCCTCTATCTATCCTTCCACCCACCCATCATCCATTCATCCATCCACCCACCCATCATCCATCCATATTCCCTTCCCAATTTCTTCCCCTCACTCTTCCTATTTCTCCTTTTCTTTTTCTTATTTTCACTTCTCTTCCCCCCATTTCCATCTAAGCATCCAAACATCCATCCACTGATGCAGCCAGTTGACTCACAAGCTTGCCCCAAGCGAGACACTGTACTAGGTGTTGCCAAGACGGAGGCTCTTAAGATGTTGGCCCTCAAGAAGCACCGGAGGTCTGGTGGGAAGAGCCCACAATTCAATCAACGGCCACAATGCAATTAACAAAGCTGCCACCAGGCTGGGTGTAAGGGAGCCGGGGAGAGGGAGCATTTCCCAGGGAGATGCCTGCGACTACAGAGAGGAGGCGGGGGGGAACGCAGGGCAGCTGGGATAAGGCGTTCCAGATGGGAGAGCGGGAAGGCAGAGCGGGGTGCATGGGCGTGGCCAGCCCTGCGTTATTCCTGGCGTTGGAAACCCGGTACCGGTGAATGCTGACTGTCCAGCCGCCCATGTGGCCATCAGGCGGTGAGGCTGGTGGGCGGAGCAGGAATCTGCCCTTCCATCGTCCCCTCCCCCGGCCGCCTCCCTCCCAGGCAGCAGAGAGGCCAGGATAGAGACCTGAAGTCGGGGCGACGGCCCCCCCCCGCCATGGTCTGAGGGATAATTACACAAGCGCCCAGCACATGGGTCTGATTCTGACTGTTGACTTCTCCCTGGGCCTGAGCTTTCTCAAGGATAAAATACACACGTGAGGTAAGCGATCTCTACGGACCAGGAGAAGCTCTGGAATACTGCAGTGTGCCAAGCACCCCAGGGTGTGCAAGAAAGTGCACCTTAGATTCCCGCCCGGCACCACCACACACAGCCACACGCATCACCTGCATCTGTACGTTAGATGCCGGGCGAATGCTGCGAATCGGTGTTTTCTGCCCACTCGTCCGAACGCCAACGGGGGAACGTGCTCTGTGAATTCCGATTCCGGTTTGTCGCAATCACGCGCACACGGATGGTCCGGAAAACGTGAAAACACGCGGGATGCTATTCTGACGCCAGAGGGCGCTCTGAGCAACCTCAACTGCTCCGAACACAGGGTTGGGCCTGACGGGGCCAGGGACTCACACACGGTCCGAAACCAGGACCGAATGCCACGCGCTCGGCCAGCTCACCGCCATCTCAGGCTACCCTGTCCGCTCTGGGCAGGCCGCCGACTGAGCTGGGTGCCCACTCTCGTGGCACGTGTGACAGGAGGAGGCAGCCAACAGAACAGAGCGAGATGGGAAGCAGGCGTCCCCAAACAGAAGTAACCGGGTAGTGAGCGCTATAAACGTGTCAGACACGGACGACACGCTGGGGAGACAGACGGAAACACGGCTCGGGCTCCCGAGGGACCCCAGTCCAACAGCATCCTTCCCACGGCAAACCCCGACTTAAAGGGACCGTGAGCCACTCATTCTGCGTTTCTCGCGGGGGTTGGGGCACCCCTGAGGAGCAGGCCTTGCGTGTGGCCATCGGGGGCCCCTGTGAGCTGGGCGCCCCTCCCACAGGAAGTGCCCGCTTAGGGGGTGACCCGGGTGGGGTGCAATGGGGACCCTCTCAACCCTCTGCCCCAAGATCTCCAATAAAACACGTTCCAGAACGCGGGAACCACGCCAAAGCCGAAGGCCTGGTGAGGTGACGCTGGGCATTCACGGAAACCGGGCATTGGAAGGCGGCGTTCATACTGGCCGAGCACCGACGGGGGAGGGACCCAGGGCTGCGTCGGGTGCGCTGGGCCGGCTCGCAATTCCTTCCCGATTTCCCGCTAGTGACATCACGGTGGCCTCTTGAAATAGCCATCTTGGAGTATCTGCACCCCAGGAAGGCGCCAACGCGGATGGGGCCCTGTCCTCGTCCCCCCAACCCCCTGTGCGGCAGCCGCTGTCAGATGTGACCGCCTGGCGGCTCCGGGTGCCGAGGCAGGGGCTGGCCTGAGCGGCAGTGCCTGCAGTGACGGCGATGACGCACCCCCTCCTGCTCACCCTGCCACCTGCCTCCCGTGCCTGCTGTTCTGAAACGCACAGGACGAACGGGAGAGCGGCGGGGTCAGTCCCCCAGGACGGGGTCCTGTTGGGAGGGGGTCCTGGCCACACACGTAATTACAAACCTCGGGACACTCCCCGGCCCCCAGCACAGCCTCGGGCAGCGGCGGGCACACCCCCGGGGGGAACACGGAGCGACCAGCGTTGGGCTTCCAGGGAGCCTCCCCCACCCTGCGAGCTGGGCCGCAGGTTCCAGGCGCCTGTCCCAGCTCAGAGGAGCAGGGAGACCGGTGGGCATGACGCGCCCTGGTCCGGGCTGCGTCCTGAGGAAGCAGCCGAGCGCGTGTGAAAAGGAGACGCACCTCGTAGCTCAGACGTGACGGCGGGTTCCAGGGACTCCAGGTGCCCGCCCCGCCCAGCCCCGCCCCTGGCCGCTTCCTGCAGCCCGGTCAGCACGGATGCCGCTAAGGGAAGGCACATGGCCCAGGGCGCGAGCGTGTACAAAGCCCGTCCGTGAGCCAGGACCCACATGGACAGCCAGTGTTTCCACAGGGCAGGCCTCCAACCAACGGGCAGGTGTGCTGGAAACCACACACACACGTGTGCGTACATACACACTCATGCACACACATGCATACACCACGTGCACACACTACACACATGAACACACTCATGCACACGTGCACATGCCCACACATGCACGCACACCACACACACATGCGCACTCACGTGTGCACACACATGCACACACACGCACACCCGGGGGCTGGAAGCCCAGGTGCTGCCCTTGCCTGTGTCCGATGCCAGATCACGGAGGCCCTGGAGTGGCCCAGCTTGTTCCTGCAGGGCCCCTTGTCGTAGTGGATGAGGAGGAAGTCGTCCTGGGGGAGAGCGGGGTCAGGGGTCAGTGCCCATGCGGCTGCTCCCTCCTTTACGGCCCCGGCCAACAGGACCTGCAGGAGGACCACCCGCCCGCGCACCGCCCACCCCGGGACGCCTGCTGAGCGGCTGGGATTGTGGAGGAGAATAGCTCGATGCTGGGTGCTGATCTGACCTGAGGCCCCGCCCCCACGGCTGCGCCGGCCCCGCTGAGCTTGGTCCCAGGGCCCCCACCTCTGCGTCCGCCTTGTCCCAGGCAGGGGCTCCTGGCCGTGAAGCTTCCCTTCCCGCTGGCCACCTCCTGCACCCTGCAGACCTCTCCCCGGGAAGTGCTGCTCTCAGCTCAGCCCATCCAAGGCCTCACCACGGGAACCAGCCTCTGCCATGTCCCCAGCTGCCCAGGAGGGGGCAGCAGCGCCCTCCGACTCTCAGGACTCAGGCTGCCCCTGCCTCCTTCCTGCTGCTCTCACCGCCCACCTGGACCTCAGATCACCTTCCCGTGACCTTGACCTCCGCCGGATGGTCAGATTCCCCTTCCTGACGCCAGGCTGTTCACCCAGGCTACGGACCCCGTGATTGGCCCCTGAACCTCCACAAACACCCCCTGAGAGGGAGGCGCCCTCCCCCCTTAGCCCTGAAGGGAACCAGCTCCCTAAGGGCCCAAAGGAGGGGCGGGGGCTGCTTCTCGCTGCGAGGAGGGGCGGCCGGACAGCCCTTCCGAGGACGGAGTGACAGCACCGGCCCGGCCGGCGTGTCGGCGACAGAGCAGCCTTCCTTCGGGCCGTGGAGACCGAGGCCGGACACTGGCTGTCGTCTCACCGAACAGCCCTCTGCGGGGAGCACCCTGGGCGGCCGCCTCCTCCTGGGGACAGGGCGCTGGCCCGGGGCCTGACTCCGATGACCGCCCGGGGCCTGAGGGCGGGACCTGCCAGGGCCCAGGAGCGGTTCTGTCACAGGGACCGCCTCCCTGACGATGGTTCAGAGAAGTCGCATCATGTGGGTGTGTGTGTGGGGACCCGGTTAGAACCGACTCGGATGTGGAGGGCACTGCACGGCGCCCGAGCAGAGCGGGCAGCTGTGCCCAGAGTGGGCACCGCGGGGCTGGCCTCCCGTGACGGCGAGGCCCTCGGGGCAGCAGGCCACGGAGCCGCAGGCAGCAATGGCTCCGGAAACCACACGCATCCACCGGGCATTCCCACGCTCGCCCACAACCACCTGGGGACGCCGGACGCCGTTGGAAAACGCGTTTCGCTTCCCTTTCTCTTTAAGGAAAGTTCTGAGGAGCGGCTGCAGGTCCGACATCAGGTAGCAGAACATCACGTAGTTACAGTTTCCTCAAAGCTACTGGGATTCAGTAAAGTGCACAACTGTACCCCGTCATGTGTCACGCACAGGGGACCAGAGAGACGGGGGGTCCCAGAGCCTCCTGCGGGCTCCTCGGCAAAGGGCGCCCTGTGTCCCCGCGCCCTGCCCCGGCCCGGGCGGGCGGGCGGCCGGTACTCACGTCCAGGGACTCCAGGCAGTACCAGCAGAAGGCGTGCTTGCAGTTCTTGCACATCATCTGGGCGCAGCCTTCGTCCCGCTCGATGTAGACCTTGCACTTGGGGCAGCGTTTGATGGGCGCATCGTCCTCCTCCAGCCTGAACCCCGAACTGTGGGGAGAAGTGGGGTCAGGGCCCCGGGGGTCAGTCGGTCGGCTGTGCTGGGGGCAGGCGCTTCCCCGGAGGGACCGAGGTCGCTCGTTAGTGAACGAGGTAAAACTACGCGGAAGAAACAAAAACTCCGGAAACAGTCACCAGGAAAGTGTGGCTCGCCGGTTCAATGCGGGGGAAGAGCAGGAGCAGCGCACACCACACTCAGACACAGGCACAGCCGAGCCAGAGGACAGGGAGGCTCAGGAAGCGGGGTCCGAGGCTCGGGGCTGTGAGCACGCTTTCCGCCCTGATGCGAGCAGAGAGAGTGCACTTCCCAAAGGGCTGGTCACGTCTCCGCGTTTTACCACTTTCAGAAAAAGCCGACAGCCACACGCCCGCGCGGCCTGCTCAGCTGGTCCCGGTCTGCCTCAGGCCGTCCTCGGGGAGCC